GGGGGGGGGGGGGGGGGGGGTCAGGATGGGGGAGAGGAAAGGAGAGGAAGGAGCAAAGTTTAATAACAAGGTGTGCAGCACTAAGTTAGTGAACAGCTCAAATCGCTCCCACAGGCCAGACGGTGACATCATGTGTCCTTCCTCACACACACAAAAACACACACACACACATTCTCGTTAATACCCCAAACTGAGGACCAAGTTAAAGGACTCACAATCTGAGGACCAGTAGTTCTGAGCTATTTAGAAAGAGTTTTACATTTTTCCCACTAGGTGTCTCACACACACACACACACCCACACACACACACACACGAACACAAACACACACACATTCTTGTAAATACCCCAGACTGAGGACCAAGTAAAAGGAATCACAATCTGAGGACCAGTAGTTCTGAGCTATTTAGAAAGATTGAGTTTTACATTTTTCCCAGTAGGTGTCTCACACACACACACACACACACGCACGCACACACACACACACGAACACAAACACACACATATTCTTGTTAATACCCCAGACTGAGGACCAAGTTAAAGGACTCACAAACTGAGGACCAGTAGTTCTGAGCTATTTAGAAAGATTGAGTTTTAAATTTTTCCCACACACACACACACACACACACACAGCCGGAGGCCTTCAATCATTAGTCCCCATAATGCCATCACCACTGTCCAAAGGTCAGGAGATTTAAACCTGCAAAAACACACACTTGTGTTCGATTTTTACTCCAAACACACTCACATATACGCGTGCATATCCCCCCCCCCCCTCTAAAATACTCATCAGGAGGGATTAAGAACCTCTAAAACTGTGATTGTGGAAAAAGAGTATTATGTCAAAAGTAGGTCGCTTATATTTTTAAAGGATAAATCACGGGGAACTGGATTCGGTGTTCCAGGACGCGTGAATTTAAATTTAAACGCACACGCGCTAATCAGCTGTGAGCTCACAGATACAAATCTGATCTTTAGCTTAGGCAGGCCAGCGGATTATCACCCATAGGCCCAACAAAATTGCCCCACCCGTTTGTAAAGTTTGTAAACTGCCTTCGTCTCCTCGATAAAGCCTGAAGGTTTGGCGAGCCCTGGCGATCGTCTTGTTAGAATTGGGCTATAATTACTCACTTTAGCACAGTATGTCATAACTTAATCCATGTAAAAGACTGATTGTCTTATTCCTTTTTAGATTTATATTATTCCCTTTATAATTATACTTTTGGGTTAAACTCTTTGGCTGTTCCTCCTCTTCCTCCTCTCTTTGTTACAGTAGACACACGTCTTCAAGGTTAATATTCACACTTTCTTATCACATTCCACCCAAACCTGCATGAATTAGGACCTGGCCTGTTCACGTCAGAGCTAACTGGCCAATAACACTCCTGTTCGAGGCCCAGAGGATGACTATTAACACTCGGTTACGTCAAGCCGTCTTGTCCGAGGCCCAGAGGATAACTATTAATCTCACCCGGAAATCCAGGCTCTTGCCAACTGAGATCCTCCGGGAGCTTTTGTCTGTGAGAGCCCAGCTGATTTTATTTTGCTTGTGACCAATAAACGTCATATTTGTACTCAGATTGATCTGCTCTGGTTTATTCTCAGGCTTCCAGCTAAAAAATCAAGCTAACAAGCCTCGTCTCAAAGGCCCCTTGGCTCAGTGGGACGGAGAGGAGGCCTTTGATTACAGATCTGTTCGGTGTCTGTGCTGTTATAGAGATGCAGACAGAGAATGGACTCCCTCCCAACTCCCCCCGCACGTGCTCATTTCAGCCTGCTAATGCACGAAGCGTGCACATGTGTCGCACGTTTCCCACGCTCCTCCGGTCTCTGTGGACGAGCGGTTAATTAAAAGACGGTGATTCGGAGCTAAAGAGGCTTTGCCGAACACGCTCTGGGCTTAGCGGCCGTAGATCCTCTGGAAACTCGCTACGAAACGTTGCGAAAAGCGCCCCATTAGCTTCCGACGCCGAGCAATCAGTTACACAACGTGGTGTCCTACATGTGATTAAACACAGGAAGTTAAGCCACTGGCGGTTTCAATTCCAGCTTTTTTTTGGCACACAGTTGTGTTTTAAGGGGCCACCGGTCAGTTTTACATGGATTTGACTTTAAAATCATCCTCCTTTGGGTTCAGATGGATCGGTTGTGGTTTAGAAGCACCACAGCTTTTCTCCAGGCAGTTGGATGTGAAGGTAAAACAAAAGGCTAAAAGACTAAAACGACCCAGAAACAGCTGGCAGCAGCATCTTTATGCATCGCTTAAAAAGATCTTCTAAATTGTAGGACAGCAATCACAACACACAGCGCTGAACTCAAATTGCTGTGTGATTAAATAATGGTAAAAAATCATTAAAATCTGTCTAGAAGTTTCACGTTTGCAGTAAATCAGCATCTGCCATTTCGAAAAGGGAGAAAAAAGGAGCTCGGTTAGCATTTTAAAGACGTCCCGGTGCAATTTCCTGGAACGCAATTTAAAATGACGATGACTCATCTTTCACTGGGGGACATGCAGCATTTTTGCATATAATCAAATGCTTTATTCTTTTAATTTCCTCTTAAAAAGACGGATGTGAGGAGCTCAGTCACACAGCTCTGCGCTAACCGTTTTCTTTGTGCTGCTGAATGGCCTGTACAGGATGCATTTAGAGGCCTAAACCGTCCATCCATCCATCCATCCATCCGTTATCATTACCGATTGTTCCCTAATGGGGTCACAGGGGAACTGGGCCTATCCCAGTGGTCAATGGGGATGGTCAAGGCCTGAAAACGCTTCTGTATAATTCCCTTTATTTATACATTTGGCTGTGTTGAAGTTAAGAATGTTGATTCTGGCTCCATAAAACAACCAAAGCGTTCTTCATTCTTTTTCTGTGTCATCTCTAAAACGAAATGTCGCGTCTAATTTTGCTGCCGTTCGTTAAATTTCAAAGTGGTTCGCTCGTCTCTGTCTAAACTCTGTAAAGGTCTCTGAAATGTTACGTTTTAAAGGTCTAAATCTTTATTAAAACATCCTAAATGACACAATTGCACAAAAACTAATAAAAACTCAAGATACTCGGCCCATTTATGTGTGTACATATAAATAAATACATACATTTAAACATATGGTTCTTTCCTCTGAATCACCATGTTGCAAATAGATCAACATTACAGATTTGAATTTCTTTAGATGTGTTTTTTAGGTGTTTTCTTAGGTGTTATTTAGGCCCAAAAAGTATTTGCATATCTGTGATAAACTAACGTGTTTTGTAGCCCATCTGGTAAATCTCAGACATTCCTTCAGTGTTTACAATATATATATATTTTTAGCTTAAACCATGTTCAAACTTGCTAAAAAAAAAAAATAAATAAGATATCCCATCAAAATCTGTCCAAAGTTTGCATCCTGCAGGATACAGTTTAAACCTTTGAAGGTTTAAGGTCTATTTTGGTCAGATATAATCTGCCTTTAACCAGGTTTTACAAATGTTTAGGTTCAGACAAAGTTTAATAAAGTCTCAGAGAGGAGAAACGGTTTCGCCCTCATCTTCTTTGACTTCAAATCACTTGTTAATAGTTAACTAACTGAATGACATATTTTATTGCACGTACGATCTAATTAGGATAATGCTGCGGCCATTTTAATCGAATCTACATTTTGTAAGCCACAGATTGGCTTGTAAGCCATTAATCTCAGCTGAATAGCCTTTGTTCCTAATTATCTCCCTTTAAAAACCTACAAAAATGTGCTATAATGTGACTGAATGCGTCGTGCAGGGAGCCGATCCCAGTTTATGTTGATCGGAGCTCAGGAAAAGCTCAGATTTGGACCCATTTTACCCATAATGTCAGCTGTTGGCCAGTGCCCCTGAACAATGAGAATTATATCAGGAGTGGGCCAAAAACAGCTCTGAGGGGCCAGTGATTACTGGACTTACACAAAACTGGCTTCAGACGAATGCTGATATTTGTCTATGTCTGTGGAGCAATCTACAGAGAAAAATAATGGAAATCCATTCAGCTAATTTGTCCATTTACCCCTCAAAAGATCATTAAAAAAATGGAAACATGCCGCGTTTGAGTGCTTAATGTAATGAAGCTGCTGTTTCCCAGATTGATGGGACTCTCCGGGATGATAATAACACACATATTTGAAAAGGTGACTCAGCAGGAATCCCACAAACGTACAGTGGGGGAAATAGGTATTTGACCCCTTGCCGATTTTGCAGGTTTGCCCACTTACAAAGAATGCAACAATCTATAACTTTAATCATATGTACATTCTAACAGTGAAAGACAGAATCCCAAAGAAAATTCCAGAAAATCACATCATATGAATTTATAAAAATTGATAACCATCTGATGAGGAAAAATAAGCATTCTTTGTAAGTGGGCAAACCTGCAAAATCAGCAAGGGGTCAAATACTTATTTCCCCTACTGTATTATACCCTATTTCAACGAGTTAAGCTAGTTCCCTGGTGTCCTAAAAGATAAGAGAGCCAGGTTCCCTTAGCAAGGTAGTGGTACATTTTGAAAAGGATATATCGGAAAATATGTTTTTAACAGAAAGGAATTAATGAAAATGAATAATTAATTTGATATACAGTGGGGGAAATAAGTATTTTACCCCTTGCTGATTTTGCAGGTTTGCCCACTTGCTTATTTTTCCTCATCAGATGGTTATCAATTTTTATAAATTCATGATATGATTTTCTGGAATTTTCTTTGGGATTCTGTCTTTCACTGTTAGAATGTACATATGATTAAAGTTATAGATCGTTGCATTCTTTGTAAGTGGGCAAACCTGCAAAATCGGCAAGGGGTCAAATACTTATTTCCCCCACTGTATGTTTGTGGGATT